TGGCTTTCGCCATCGAAACAACATGAGGCAGTGAACGATTCCTAGAGCCAAAGAAAGTGATCGACTCGTCTCTCGGAAGATAAAGAGTGATATCCCGGTCATGACACCTGATGTCTGCATGATAGAAGGATAGCCAATCCATTCCGAGAATAAGGTCGAAGTCCCTCATCTCGAGAACAAACGCGTCGGCAGACAATACTCGGCCACCGATGGAAAGGCTAAGGTCTGAAGCTTTAGCTGAGGTCACTATCTTTCGTCCCGAGGCTAAACTCACCTCGAGAGGATCGACAGCGGTAACGGCATGAACTCCTATGGCATCAAGACATCGTCGTGAAATGAATGAATGCGTTGCTCCAATATCGAACAAAGCGAAAACAGGAATATCATTAAGCACAACCATACCTGACATAGTACCTGGCTGCTGTGCTGCCTCGACCTGATCAATCGCATAGACTCTGGCCTGCTGTCTGCCCCTCTGCTGCTGCTGCTGAGGCGGCCTCTGCGCCTGCTGACGTGGCTGTTGTTGCTGTGGTGGCTGCTGAGGCTGCTGGGGCTGCTGCTGAAGTCTCTTCGGACGGCGACTCACAAAGTGTCCAGGCTCATGGCAGTAGTAGCAAATATCCTGACCCATGTGGCACTCTCCCCGATGAAGTCGTCTGCAAGTCGGGCACGGTGGAACCTGCTGCTGTCTCTGTCGGGTCCTCCTGTCGGTCTGAGCACCCTTCCCCTTCCTCTTTTTTTCCTTTGCCGGCTGAGCAGCTGGTAGGGCTGGTAGAGCTATGAATGGCTGAACTGGGGCAGATGGCTGGGCACGATCACGGACAGCCTCCCTCCTAATGCTGGCGTCCACCTCCTGGGCAATAGAAACTGCACGAGCATAGGTCTGTGTCCCGTGTCCCACAATGTTATGACGGACTGCTGGGTAAAGCCCGTCAATAAAGCGCTGTGCTCTCTGGGCCTCTGTGCGAACCAGGTCCGGAACGAAAGCTTCAAGTCTAGTGAACTCTCGCTCAAACTCATCAACAGTACGAGTGCCCTGCTGGAGCGATAAGAACTGATGCTCCATCTCTGCCCGATAATAAGTGGGGTAGTACTTCTCGCGGACTAGCTCCTTGAGCATATCCCACGTACATCCAGCTTTCTCACCAGGACGCATGATCCAGTAGGCATTCCACCAGAGCCTAGCATCGCCAGTGAGCTGAAGCTGAGCGCAGACTACGCGATACCTATCAGGACAGTCCATGACCTCAAAGATAAACTCCAGGCCCTGAATCCATTCATCTACAATGCGGGGATCTCCCTGACCTGAGAATTTTTCAGCGTGATAGTCGCGGAACTATGCGACTACTGTGGCCTGAGTAGGAGCCGGATGATCGGGTTCCGTACGTGGCGGCATCTGAACATAGAGAAAGTTTAACATTATTGAATACGTGATAATATCCTGACTAATTACTAAGGCACACAGATCTCTTGACGAGTTGCCAAAAATGGCCGTTAAATACTGACATGAATCATGAGGAACTCTAGAGTCCTATTGAAAGATACTAAATTCTAGAGGCATATCTAAATGTCCTGAATTCTAGAGTCATATCTGAACTCTAAAGTCCGAACCTGATTTGAGCATCTTAACTAAGTTCTGATCCATAATTCTGAGCATAGACAAAGTAATATGTTTATAACTGAAAACATAAATCAGCACTTACCTGTAGTCGGCGGGGCGTGAGCATGACGGTTCAGGTTTTTCTGAAAATTACTGACTGAAAAACTTTTCAGAGACGTCGAAACGTGCTCTGATACTAATTGTAACACCCCGCCTTATCGTGAAATCAGAGTGCGAAAATTTCGCAAAGTTATTTAAAAATAAAATCTTTTACTTTGCGAAAACTGATTCGGGGTGCTACCGTAAAAACGTGATTTATTTTGGAAAACCGTTATCTTAATTTTTAATAAAATCATACGGTTTACTGAAAGCATAATTTTTCCAAAAGTCTGGTCAAAACATAAGTTCATCAAAACCGTCATCAGCGGAAACGTAAATCGTCATAATATATACACAGTCAAAACATAAAAGTCCTGAAGCCTCCGTCATCTCACGCTCCCGGTCTGACATCCTGTCCTGTAAAACATGAGAAAAGTGGGAAGTGAGCACTATGACACTGTGCTCCGTGGAAACTCATACTAATGTAAACATTGAAAATAATAACAACATCATGATCTTGGCATATACATAACCTGAACATGAAACCGGTAATAACATGAACATGAATCTGATATCATCACGTGAACGTGAACCATGACCGTTACCTCATCTGCCGGCACAAACTAATGCCAGACACCATGTGCACACTCTAGTGGGCAGACTAGGCCACTAGAACCCAGAATGGACCGGCGACCATTCCGAGCGGATACATGACATGAAATACATACCTCAAACATGGTACCGTAATTATAATCAATGTAGTACTTAGTCTGAGTCCCCACTTGATCCGTAAAAATAAAGGCAGTGCTGATACTCGTGACCTGATCAAACTGAAATATAATATAAACAATTACTAATGACTATGCTCAGACTGTTGACTTAACTGTCTAATTATGTTAAGATTCTCTACTGAACCTGACATGATATTTAGACTTAACCGGAATAACCGGAACTGATTTGACATGAACTGATCGGACATGAACTTACTGAACTGAATTGATCTCGGAATATTAACTGAAAATGCCATTAAAATCGTGAACCGGGCTGAAACCATAACGT